TTTTTTGAGGGCGACAGGCGAAAATCAATGCGCGCGCGGATGTCATCCATGAAATTGAGTCGTTGTGGCCTTATACTGGCTTTACAGATACAATGTACGATCAAGCTACCAATGTAGATGCATTATTGCCATGGGACAGACGCGCATGTGTCCTACAACATTTAAGCTGTCTTTCTGTGGAAAATCCTGCCTTTATCAGATTCTTGTTGACGATCGGTTCTGTGGGTCCAGCCAGATTAGAAATTCTGCGGCATCAAATTCTAACGACGTCGACCAACGTCGTGCTTAGGTATTCGTCCTAAAGAATTTAAATGACAAAGAATGGACAGTCTGCGTTTACATGGTGAAAGAAAACAATTATTGCCCCCACTTATTTATCGTAACGTTGTAAAGTAACGTAAAACATTGTATGGACGGGAGGTTCTGTGGTTGGCTGGTGTTCGGGAGTACAATGTAGCTCAACGGTTTTCGGGGGAGGGTCAAATTTGATTCAGATTTAACTCAAATACGAATTCAAATCGTATAGAACGGCAGGCAGGGCCTAAATCTGGTCAGACTGCTTCTGAACTTAAGCCAACCTTGGTTGGTTCGTTGTCAGGTCTCAATACATGACGGCCCTTGGATTATTGTCAGCGGTTTGATAGTTAAAACAGTTTAATAATTACGCAGCATCAAAATCGTATGTCGACCACATCAAATATAAATCGACCTGGCTTTGGCGTTACTTAGAATGAGAGTCTAGTAACTAGTTCCTTAGAGTGAGAGTCTAAGGATTTGTAACTGTAACCGTAAACGTAACTGTAAACTTAAGCCCAAATCCTACCCACACAGAAAGACCGTTTGTTACAGAGATAACAAGTAAAACCTGAGATTTTATACCTCCGGGCTTTTTATTGTATATTTTTATATAGGGTTTTAAACAAAGAATTTATCGAGACCAGTCACCCCTCTGTGTGAGGGGTCATATACGTGGACCAGACCGAGAATAGCTTAAACACTTCAAAGGTCAACGGTCGCGACCACTTTCACGCCCGGGGTGTTCTGGGGCTACCAAAAGGCACCATTTTCCCGCCCGAAAACACGTATACAATGAAAACAAAAGGACGTGCATCATCTACAGCCCAATAGCAAAACATATACCGAGTCCCGAAAGAATCCGTCCACTCAAACGCGAGAAACAGCTGCGAACATGAAAATCTAAATCTCTCACAAAACCCTTCCGCGGAAGGATATCTCCTCGCCGGAGGCAAAAATCTATGACCCTGTACCCATCCCAGCTGCCTGTTCGTTCACAGCCCTGCTCAGCTCAGGCTCGTCCTTCTCGAACACGTCATACGTCACCAGCCAGTCCCTGATCCACCGCCTGACGTCATCAACTCCCGTCAGCCCCACGGCGCGCATCTCCGGGCTGCACGCCACGAAGTCGGTGAAGAAGATGTCCGAAGGTTTCACGTCTAGCACCTCGGAGAAGTCAGCACGGAACTTGTCTGTGTTTTCCTTGGTCTGAGATGGAAGAGACATCTCAGTGAGACGAATGAAACATGAAATGAAACATGGAAATTTTACTAAACATTGACCCCCCCCCCACACACACATACACATACACACAATCAAAAGAAAAGCAATGGGATAAAAACTTCGAATTGAAGTTCCTTTGCAAGTGATGCCTGCCAAATAAAATATCTTACTATAACGTTAAAGTTAAAGTTAAAGAGCCTTCCCGCGTCAAGTGACGCATAGGGCGGCGCCCATCTCCGTTCATTAGCCCTGGGCCACACACAGAAGTCACTACAGCAGGGGGCTAGTCCACTGGTAGTGGTGTGTGTTTAACTCCCATACTCTTTCCCAAATGCTGAGTGCTAAGCAGAGAAAGCAGTATGTACCATTTTTAAAGTCTTTGGTATGACTCGGCCGGGGATCGAACTCACGACCTACCGAATGCAAGGCGAACACTCTACCCACTTGGCCATTGCTATAACGACATACCTTAAACGCATCGGGAAAGCGTCCACACTGGTTGATGCAGATCACGAAGGTGCAGCCAAAGGCCTTGACCTTCTTGAGTTGGTCAATGTTTAGCTTGCTGGGATCGCCGGTGAACGGCATGACGAGGATGAAGAAACTGGCCAGTCCCCCACAGTGGTTCACCAGCGTGGCCACCTGAGTATCAACTGTGGTTGTGCCAGGGAAGTCTACAATCTGCAAATCAAGATGATGGGAGAGTACTTAGATGCTATATTTCTGCAAAAATGTAGATACATATGCATCTATTTGCTGCAAGAGCACAGAAACTTGCATCTTTTTGCTGCAAGAGTAAGCATAGACACTATGTAGATGGAATTGGGCCGTTTGAAATGACTATTGGATACCCTGATAGGATTTGCCGAGTGTCTACAAACATGTGTTAAGCTACGGTCACAACCCGCCGTACGTGCTTTTTCTCCGTACGTTTTTTGGGAGGCTACGTCTGCTACGTTGAAAACGTGGGGAAGGAGTGGCGTCAACGCACGTCGCTCGCACGGTTGCGCAAGGTGTAAGAGTGTGGTCTGCACGCCAAGTCTGGCCGTGAGCGGTTGCGTGCACCGTACGTTGCGCAAGTGGTGAGTTGTACGTGCTTACAACGTACGATCTCCGTGCGATTGCAACTTTACCGTAAGGAGGCCGTACTCACACGTGCTTCTTCCGCACGACACGTACGGGGCACGCACGTCGCTCGTACTCGCACGCACGGGTGGTGAATCAGCAGACAGCACGTAGAAAAAGTTTTACATGCACTCAAAGTTCTACGGCGTGTCTGCGTGCTCCCAATCCGTAGGATTCCGTACGGAGGTGGTACTCACCACGCACGGATGCCCTACGTTTGCCCATGTTTTTGCACGTAGACAGCACGCAGAAGCACGTACGGCGGGTTGTGACCGTCGCTTTAGTCATGTATGATTTGAAGTTCTTACCACCATCCTCTCTGTGCCCCGGGCCTTGTAAAGCACGGCTGTTTTGGTGTGCTCCTGGAACCCGATGTCTTTCACCTCCTCCAGTCCCCAAAGCGTCTTGATGAGTGTCGTCTTGCCTGCATCCTGCGGCCCGATCAGACCCACGAAGCAAGTCTTCATGAGTAGCTGACGGAGCCGGAACAGGTCACAGGTCATCTGGCAGCGTCTCACCGCCTCCTGTTGGGACCCCTTAGTTGCTCTGCCTAGCTTCTTGCCCCAAGTAGTCTTGAATGGATGACGTTTTGCAATGGAGTCAAAATCTTTATCTAGACATCCCAGCATCTGAAAGAAGGAAATGCAACATTACTGTCAAGTACCATCCAGATACGCGAAATGCTGTGTTTGCGATGGATAATTGCCATTATCATCAACAACATGCTCTTTTTTTACTGTCCAAACAGTACCCGTGAAGTCGCAGCCCTTAATACGGCTGAATTGATGCAGGGTATCACAATAATCAATACAAATCACAACAATTACAACAATCAAATAATACACATGATACACGTTTGTTCCACAATTATTTTTGTGGAACAATTATTTTTGTGGAACTGTCGCAAGGGTCTGTGCGGCTGCCATTCGGCGCCACCAGGTGACCTCAATACGACTTTCCCCAACCGAAGTTAGGTACCCATTCACACCTGGGTGGAATGAGGAAAGTCGTCCCAAGGGCACAACGTCGGGGCGCATGTTCAGACATGTACCGGTTACGACTCGGAATCGAACCCGGGTCTCCCGGTTCACAGTCGATTGCTCTAACCACTACACCACCCGACGCCACTTGAGGTATTAATCATTGTAAATACTACGTGTATCAGCAGAACCCACGCCTATCAGCATATGGAGACAATGTTGTACCTATATTAGACCCGGTATAAAGCTCTCACCTCATACTTGGTCATGAGAGCTGATTCCAGACTGTACACATCGTCATCCAGTGCCCTGTCACGGATTGAGTTCTCTTCCTCGACATCCTGCACAGATGGTAGCTCTTCAATCAGAGACCTTCAATAAGGTATAGGTATAGTGTAGTTCATACTTATGTCCAGATCATATAGACTGGTTTATTTCGAAAAGAACATGCATACAACATACATATAAGTTGCTAATTGCAGCCCGTAGGCTGAATTGGGCAGCTTTTACAATGAGATACACAGGTAGAATATATTTAACATGTACATAACTTAAGCATAAGCATCAAATATTGCACTAGATTATTGCACTTTTATGTTAAAATTACGGCATTACAAAATCGGTTACAAATTACATGATGTAGCTAAAAACTATTTAGTGGACAGGGAATTATTTATATATACAGAAATTCAGGAAAGTTGTGGAATTAGTTCATTTAATTGATTCTCAACCTGCTCTTACTTGAGAACACCCTTGTAATTACTTTCCACTTTGGCGAAAAATTGATATGTGATGTTGCTGACAACGCTGGCTCCGGACGCTAGAATACCGACGAGACCCGCAGCTATAGCCTGCCCTCCCGTCAGACTGATCGCCAAGGCACCAATGTAAGCAGCACCAGCTCCACCTTGGTTGAGAAAAGATACAGAGTCTATACTCAGCGACTAGAAAAAGGTTTTCGCACGAGCATGTACACATGCTATTTGACTACTGTAGTTGCCTGTGTTACGAAAGGGCTTTAGAAATTCAAGTGGGCACCGCCCCTTCAAAATGGAAGACGTGGGAAGGATTTGAACTTCAAGAAAAGTCTTACCTGTGACTACCACACCAGCCACCGCTGTAAGCCCTAGCAGCGTTGCCAGCACCCAATCCGTAAGACCCATAGGGTACTTCACCTTTAGATGGTTCCCGACTTCTGCAACAATCGCACCCACCACTGGTCGCAGCTTTTCATCCTGAAGGTCCTCTAGGCCACCAGATAAGGCAGCTGCCACCATGTCGAATAGTTCTGGGTTCTTCTTACCTAAACATGTACAGGGCAAGAAAATAAAATCTCGATTTCACAGCACAGACTTAGTAAAGGTGAGAAAATAGAAACAAGAAGATTAGAAAGCGACTGCAAAAATGTGGATAATTTTAAGATCCATCTTAAGGATGGAGTTACTTTGCTTGTCTATGAACTTACCTTTTCTGACGGCACGTCTGCCCTTATCAAGCTTGTCCAGGTACATCATCATGACGTTCCTCTTAAGTTCCTTTTGTCGGCGGGATTCCGGCATCATCATCACTGTTGCCAAGCACCGCTGTGTTGCCTGGATGAGGAGTTCTGGCCTCAACTGCCCAACGGCTAGCTGACCCAACGTACAGCCCTTCAGTTCCTGTAACATACACAATATTCCTTTCTGTAACATACATATTGTCAAAATGCTTATACTCTTATCAAAAAAAATCCTGGATCAACAGGTCATGCAGTTCGGGTTACACCTACTGTAACTTCAGACACTAAGGAGAAGCCTGTCTCTTCATTTATATCAATACAGGAGAGGCCACAAAGGAAATAATGGTCATTTCATGAAGTACATCAGCATGAAAGTTCATCTGAGTTGGTAAATTACATTCTGAAAAACTTAAACTTTTCTCCAACTCAAAATTTGACTCACCAGAAATTTTCGACTGAATCACTCAGTCTTCCTCAGCTATCTGACCCAAATGCTGTGGACACGTGATTTTTCCCACGTGTGACGTCAGCAAAGGGTCAAAGGTTGTCTGAAGTCGATATCGCCCCCCGTCATGAAGTAATTTAGGATAGAACAAACATTACCTTGACTTCTTCTTTCTTGGTCTGATACTTGATCTCCTCAAAGTGAGTTCTAACCGTGATGGTGGGAAAAGGGTCAAATGCCCCATCAGTTAGGTAACACTCCAAGATAACTTGCCGGGAGCTTTTGAAGTTCACAGAGACCGGTTCCCTTCTTGTCTTGTCATACGGAATACCTGAACAATAAATGAGACGATTATGTTGTCATCATCATCCTCTATCATTTTGTTTTTTCTTCATGCAAAATAGTCTGCTCCTTTTGATTGTGCTATTGTATTAAGTGTTGTATTGATTAAAAGGGTCGTCACGTCAAACATGTATCATGTATCTCTGCTTCATGTTTTATTGTCTATAATTGTTTGTGATAGTATCAGTGATGCCATACATTGTAGAGTCAACTAGAAAGGCCAATATTTGCTTTGGAGCAAATACAGCGATGGGTTCACCACATTTTACGACATGGCAGGGAAAGAATGAGAAACACAAGGGAAAACAATGATTTACATTGATATAACTATAATATGAAGTAACATACAACTAAAACAACAGTTGGATAGCTATTCCCTACTTTATTGGTTAGGATTTTTAATTGCATAATGCAAACTGTTGATTTTCAAAATAAAAATAAAAAACGTTCATGCCCCGCATTCCAATGCTGGAGCAGAAAAGCTTGAAATACCTACCAAAACACTTGAATAAAGACATACTGTCAGTATGGAAATGCTCTGTGCAGGTGTTAATCAAGTTAAATCCCAACAGCCAATCAGCAAGAAATGCTCTGTGCAGGTGGAAATGCTCTGTGCAGGTGTTAATCAAGTTAAATCCCAACAGCCAATCAGCAAGAAGTATAGAGGAAAGCTGCATGCCTATTGGTTGATGCCCTGCATTCCATTGTGATGACTCATGCCCAGACGTGGTAAACACGGCACACTAACACAGTAATACATTTGCTATAACACAGCCAAAAAACTCAAATAAAACCATTCTAAAAGCCTGTATCACAAAAATTTAAAAAATGCCTAGGGGTATTTGCCCACTGCACCTCCATACCAAATTTCAGGACCTTAGGCCCTAAAATGAAGAAGCTGAATCCATTTAAAAAATGGCAGGAGAAGAAGAAGAAGAAGAAGGAGGAGAAGAAACATCAGAAAAAGCAATATGGGTTCACCACCACTTCGTGGTGTGGTGAACCCATAATAATACATTATACGCAAGAGATATGTACCTGTGAAAGGATTTTCCTTAGAGAGGATGAAGAAGTCTAGGTTTTCACCATCAATGGTCACCAACAACTTTCCAGTATCCTTATTTCCCTTCTGGCTTGCTAAAATAGCAAACAAAATGTGTTTACCTCAGTCAAAGTATTATAATGAATTGTTACCTCCATGAAAAATGGAGGTATTGTTTTTGGCGTGTCTGTCTGTATGTCTGTGTGTGTGTGTGTGTGTGTGTGTGTGTGTTTGTGTTTCCGCAACTTTGTAGTCAGCATAACTTCAGAACGCCTTCATGGATTGTGATGATATTTGGTATGATGGTAAGTCTTGGAAAGACAAAGGTCAAGGTCAAGTATGCGCCTCCTGGTGGATGACCTTGGTACTGCAGCAGAACTTCCGGTTTTTGTATCTTTTGTCCTGAACAAGCTATGGTCTTGACTTTTTGGTGACAGATAGCTTATCCTGTCAGGAATAAGTGGCGTAAGTTTGGTCTCCCTAGCAGCTTGTTCTGGAACTGCAGGTTAGTTTCTGGTAAAAACTTTCAAAGCCAATAAGTCCAGATTGGAACAACGTATTTTCATCATTTTTGGTGTCTAGGTACCTGAGAGACAGTTGTACATGATTAAATGCAAATTATGCAAATGAGGACCTCATTTGCATAATTAATGAGGAAACTCTATAATTACAGTGTTTCATATAATGGTACTGCTATACATGTAATCTATTTCATCTGTGGCAGGCGTCACATCAAAAGATACCAATTATGCAAATGATGACCTAATTTGCATGATTAATGTGAACATTTGTGACTCCTTATTGGTGAATGCTGGGAATGTTATACCTCGTGACATGTATAAGTTACTTAAAGGTCAGCACCACTATACATATATTATGTTAATGTTGAGGTTATTTGCATAATTAATGAGGACATGTTGAAATGAACTATGACAATGCAAGCCCATATTTCATGGAGGTATGAGATCTCAGAACTCTTGTTTTAATAATTTTTCACAGTTGACATCGGGAAGGTAAATAGCAAAATGAACAGAAAAGGTTGTCACAATATTCATTGTTCAATCCTACCAGTAGTGTAGCTATCTCAATTGATCGTATCCAATAGCATAATTATGCAAGACTCACGTACCAATACTGACAAGGGAAACTTTGCTGACGCGTGGTGGAAAGGCTGTTTCCATGGAGATGTTCCGTTGAACCTCGGGGGCAATGCTGTCAACTACATCGCAGACTGGAGGTGGTGTGAGGACTGTGTCGTACTCCTTTCTGGTTGAGACATTGTAGAAGGCCGTTGCATAACTCACAGCCTTGTGTTCGTGTATCATCTCCGCTGAAGGAAAAAGAGAAGCAAAATGTATAACGTCAAATTATGCTACGTGCTTAGTGTTGCATGTTATATGCAAAGTAAATTCTATATATCTTATTAAGTTAATTCTACATCTATATGCCAATGCTTAGTGTCTTGACCGGTAGACAGGGCTTTTAAGATGAGGCCACACCGATTTAATTTTATGGATGACATCCGCGCGCGCATTGATTTTCGCCTGATCTAAAAAAAAAAGATCACGTCTTCCAAGTCTCTGGCCTGGCTTTAGGCTTGGGTAGTCCATGCGACAGTGAAGCCGGTGGTAACTCTGGAGAATGGCACCCAGGCTACCGAAGCTCCACGACTCAAGAACTCATTAAAAAATTCCGCAAAAAGCCAGCATGTGCTGACCTGTCGTATACATCGCGATGTAATGCGCCAAATTCACAATACCGGCTTTGTATTCCTCCGGTTTAGTAGCATTTTTATTTTGGGCCGGATTTTTCTTTTTTCGCCCTCGCGCACAAGTTTGGAGGTCTTCAGAGGATGTCATCCATAGAATTAAGGCGGTGTGGCCTGAGTAGAAACCATCCAGGAACAGGATACATAACCATGTAGGCACCTACATGTAATTACCGAACCCGACATTCAAATGTTTATGGATTGGCACACCAGTAAATATGTATCGACAACGTTAAACAAGAAGCCATAGGTGACAATTCTCCGTGAAGTATTATATATTGCAACAAAAAGAAGTAGCCATTGGCGACAATTCTCTGTGAAGTATGATAAATCGAACAAAGAAAAATTGTTTAAACGCGCGTCGGCTCAGTCATCTTAAGACGCAACAACCAATCAGAGATGCGAAATGCCGACACGTGACGCGGGATTTGCATACAGTCTAAACAACGGGGAAGGGCGCGCGATGCCCGAAATATTTTTGCGTCAATATTCAGCGCCGTGTTTCAAGAGATTAATACCGGGAAACAAATTCTTTTCTTGTTTTGAACGCATAAACATGCATTTACGCTAATCTAGTATGATTCAGGGTTACTTTTTTTTACCTGCCATGGCCAAATTATCTAAAGATGTGTGTATTGTGTGTACAATCTACAGAAAGAGAAATGTACATCAGGTCCGATCATCCGATTTTCACGTTTCGGTTTTTTGGACTCGGTTCATGAACATATTTTGGTTTGGCTCCTGGAATGTGCGAAAAAATGACTCCCGGGACTGTCTACAGGGAACACTCGCACATTCGCGGTGTATCAGGACAGCGCGACTGGTCGGCATTAGCGCAGTCCCTGTAATTAGTAACAGTTGCACATCAATTCGGCCGAAAGCATGATTGTGTAACACAGGCTACTTCTTCATATACCGGCTCATACTACACGACGCCTTTACAACTAGCAAATCATGAAATTACCCGATCTACTAGTACTGTATGTGCGGTTTACCAGCCCCAGACCACATCCGACCACGAGGCAGAACACATTGATGGGTTGCTCAAAAATATTGTCCATGTTTACAAAGAGCTGCTCCACTAACACTATGTAGCGGCCCAACCCAAAAATATTGGCCATGTGTCGTTGCTAGGACGACCGGCCAGTTGCTACGTGACTAAATACACGCCGCCACTAGGTCGCCACACCCGACCAGTTTGAAATCGATAGGATTACGTCATCGGTATTAACATTTCCTAATGTTGACCTCTGACCACCCCACATTTCCGCCCCATCAGCCCCGCCGCGACTTACTACCGGTGACATAAACGGACGACAACATTTCAACGACATGGGGATGTTTCGAAAATAACCATTTACTCCAATATCAAAACAGCTACGGTAAAAATAAAAAGACGTGCATCATCCCGGACATAATGCCACACCACATGTGAAATTACACAAAAATGCGACGTACGGAAGAATGCGTTTTGGCTGCGAACATCTTCCAAAAAACTTGGCATCTCTTAACCATGGGCAAAAACATCTGGAACCACTTATCAAAACCACCCCGTATCTGCATGAAGTTCGACCCCCCCCCACTGCTATTCCAAACAACGCGTTTTTCTGGACCATTCCAATTCGCCTTGTAATTGTAGGGGTGCGTCTGCAATATTACATTGACCGCGAAAGCTGCAACGGCAAAAATACACATTCGTGCATCAACACGGGCATGCCCGAAGACGGCGTATAAAATTGCGTGCCGATTACACAAAGAGAACCCATGTGTTTTGACTGCGAACACGAAAAATCAGCCGATCACAACACTCCGTCCGGAGGTCCTGACCTCCTTCACGGAGTAACAATCTATGCCGTGAAAAATGTAAAGAATTCAAATGCTTGGTGTATTTCCAAAGTACTCACGAGTGAGGCGTCCACTCTCTGATATGAACCTGTTGATCTGACCTTCCTCTCGTGTATATCCTTCCTTCCATGTTGTGTGGAAACTGCCAGGAGTTTCATGGCACGTGATGAACATGTACCACCCTACAGGTCGGTAGATGGAGTTCAGCTCCTGTAACTCTACCTTGTGTTGCTGTAACAGCCCGTCCAGTTCATCCATGGCACGGGGAAGCTGATCCAAAACGGTGCCAGCTGCAGCAGCTACAGCCGCAACGACAGGGCCGCCAACCACCGAGGACGCCATCTTCAGTATTGGGGTGAGAAATGGCCTTACATCTTTGACGAACTTCTTCACCTGTACAGACATAACAATGGTACGGGAATTCCGGTTGAATAATTATTAAGTTCAACTTATTACTATGATTTCGTTATCAGAAGCACTAGCTGTCACATACAGGTACAAATGTACTATATGCTGGTAGTGGTAGCTACAGCCTTAATTTCCACGTAGCAAATGTACACTTTCTGTAGTTACTAATGGCTACTTCTCCAAGCCGATCATACGGTGGAAAGGCAGTAGCCATTGGCCAGACGAGTGTCCATTATCATCATTGGTGGCCAGTGGATACTGCCTTGCCACCGTACGATCTGCCTGGAGATAAGAGGTTACCTTATCAGATGCTGTTGTCACAGCGGTTTCAACGGCTTCTGCCAGTCGGAGAATGCGTGGTATCGGGTCCTTCTGGTTCACCACGGTCAGCAGGCAGTCGGACAGATTCTCCTTCTCCACGTATGAACGGAGACCCTCGTCCCCGAAGAACGGCGCTCCAAACGCGATGGACTTGATGTTGTCAGTTTTGAGTCCCCTTCTCTTCAGCTCCACCAGCATGTTGAGCGCGACGATGTGTGACACGGCGCCACCCAGGCTGTGTCCACACAGAACTATGCGGTGGTGCTTGTACTTCTTCAGGAAGGGGTCGACCGGGATAGAGGAGGCCAGCTCAAGGAATCCGGCATGACACCGCCCACCCATTGCAGTCTGGCGTCCATCAGGCGCGGCTGCTGCCAGCTGCTGCCAGATGGAACAGTCGGCCATCACATCCTTGAAGCTGCTCGTTCCTGAAATAATATATAACATTGGTGGACGGTATTTCCTAATCTCGAAGCAGATCTTTTGGTGGGGGTAAGACAGTATCAAATTGGCCAGTCTGTAACCACCCTTGGGTGGGGAAATGGATACAGACTGGCCAATTTGATACTGTCTTACCCCCACCAAAAGATCTGCTTGGAGATTAAGTATTTCCTCGTGTTCCTTGCTATGAAAACGATACATTATCTATCCTGTTTATATCATATCATATGATAATACTGCAGTGAATTTGACTTAACATTATATGGTGGTAACGTACCCCTAAAAGCAATAAAGACTGCATTGTCCTCAGTCTCAGCTACCATGTACGACACACGCCCATAGCAGGATACAGAAGTACTGCAGAAGTCATGGCTCTCCAGTTCTTTTGTCAGGAACTCTTGTACGGCGTCTGGTGTCTCCTCATACACGGCCTGACAACACACCAATGCTCGCTGGATGTCCGCTGGCCGCAGGTTGTTTGGCTTAGAGGTGGGAATTGTCACGGTGGCTGCCACTGTGTAACATGTGAGATTATCACACCATAGTTTAGTGTAGGTCCAAGGAACTATACTATGTGCTGTCACAATCATAATTCACAATACAGGATACTAACGTGGCCATTAGCTTGAAAGACGGAAACTGTGAACTTCGATTTAAACCAAGCATAGAAAGAAAGCGTTTTTGATAACTAAATCTTTGACATGAAAGTCGTATAAAACAAACACTGAAATGACAAAACGTCTATTTCATTTCATGATCTGTATTCTTCAATTTTTCAGTGATGATTGTAAATGGCCAGTCAGCACCAAGGCTGAGGCTGTTTGGCCTAACTGATAGCCAGATCGAGGGACAAGACAGGCTTATGCTGCCTTGCAGCTGAGTTATATCCACAACGAGCAACGATAGTAAGTTTTTTTTAGCATTTTATAGTCCCCTGCAACGCAACGTACTTTCGTCAAATATGGCCTTTTCAGTACACAAAATATCGATGGCCATCGATAGCATGAATTGTAAGACTGTCACTACTAACGTTAAGAGCTTTAATTAAATGACTACATTAAGTTATTTGTCAAGCCTTTACCTGACTGGGCAGCTGAGAACTCGTACTCGGCCCTCGGCTCCAGGTCGGAGTACGGTTCCTCGGGGCTCCCCTCGGCGAACACGACGTCCTGCGTGTCCACTCTCGTCAGCAGCTGCGGAGGCTCCCTCAGCCCGAACACCATCACAAGCCTGGCCGGTGTGGCATGTTTCAGCTGCAGAACCCTGCGCGTTCCGCTGTCAGTGTGCACAAATGTCGCCTTCTCGGTCATGTTCTGGAAAATGAAACCAGTATTACATCAAGGTAGCAGAACACAGTTTTCGCCCTATGGGGATTTCTATAGTTAAGGACCCCAAGATGACTCACTTCGACGCGGTAAGAATTATAGCAGGGTGCACTTCACAAATACGAAAATCGAATATGTTTCAGAAGAAGGTACAAACTACAAAATATCTAGAAACCAAAAAATCCTGTAGGCGTATCTGCTCGTAACGTACACTTTGAAATCGCCCTCTACGGACGTGACCTGAACTGCAGCCGACTCACCCGGAAAGCCAGTTGCGCAATACGGCGCATTTATACACGAACTGCAAAACCTTCACAATTCAAATCATACACTCTCCAACCCGATACATTCCTACACCACACAGCACAATTTACATCTGGCTGACGCTCTTATCAGGCTTTCTACCCAGCCTTCAAGAATATTCGCTGCACTACTTTCTATACCCGCGTCACAGACCCCCGGGAGTCGCCCATTAATACTGTGTTCTGCTACCTCAAGGAAGTAGATTTACATGGCTACGGCACAACGCCGACAGGTCATGTGTACCGTCAAAGGTGAGGGGTCATGTAGGGAATGTAAACATCCGATACACTGTCATATAGGTTAGGCCACACCAAGTAAATTTTATGGATGACGTCCTTTGGAGACACTAAATCTAATGCGAGAGGGCGAAAAAAAACAAGAAGGGCCCCCCAAAAAACAAGATGCCTAGATTAGAAATATACTAAGAGACGACAAATGTTAGGACACAAATTGAATGAGGTGACACAGTGTAACAAGCAAGAAGTCTTTTATTCATCATCAAAACAGCAATAAATCAGGTGGAACAGTGGACAGTGAAGAATTTTTTGTTATTGACAGGATGGTCCTGTCAATAGACACTTTCTTCGCGTTACTGTTTTCACTGTCGTGACTCTATGGTCATAGTTACAGGAAGCGGAATTTCTTTTTTTTTTTTCTAGGAACAGGCCAAAATCAATGCGCGCGCGGACGTCATCCATAAAATTTACTTGGCGTGGCCTTAGGTTATAATGGGAAAGAAATGGATAGGGTCACACCACCTAATGCATCTGAAAAGATCTCTAGATCGTAACGTTATGATTAGCGTACCCCAGTACACTCCTGCATAAAACTGTGCACAGGGCATTGCCTGAGGTTGAGTCGCAGTCTCAATTTTGGCACGGAGGTAGAGTGGGCCAATACCCCCAGGCGTTTTTTTCATTTTTTTGATACATGCCTTCACGGTGGTCAAATCTGGGCTGCAAAGTTCCCACATGTCATAGAACCCGAACTGTGTTCGATCGTGTTCGATCTGGGCAATTCGAATCGAACCCGCGTTCTATTTGACCTGTCTATTTCGGGGTCACCTGCGGTCATTTACAATAAAGCGGCAAAACAAGCCTGTCTACCTCCGTGCATTGCAACAGATAAAAAACAACACTTTTCTATAGATACAAGCAGTTTCCTGGACAGTACATGTCCGCTATTATTTTTGGTGGACATGTAACATGTAGCGAAGCTACTGTCGTATCCTTGAGTGACCTTGAATACTGTAATGATTCTTTACACCAGTATGAATTACACAATGCACACTTTCTGGCGATAAGACATGTCTCCAAAACTCGTTCAAACCTGGAAACATGGAGAGTCAAACATACCCCATTTACGGCTCAAAATGACTGTAACGGTTGTCCCGAAAATCGTGTTTTAGGGATTTTTGAAAAATGGCCTCAATTTTGAATTATGGGTAATTTAGTGAGAAAAATGTCAAAAAATGTAATTTTTTCACCAATATGTCGACAAAAACTAGACTTAAAATCAGAAATTAACAAATCCCTAAAACACGATTTTTTGTCTTATTCCTAGTCTGCGAAAAATATAAAAATCGGGGATCTGGGGTAATATACGTAGCCAGGTTTGAACGATGTTTGCCTAAAAACGTGATATGACTTGTGCTCGGAAACTCGAAAATAATCGTCTTTCTGAGCGAAATTTTAAAAAATCATTGATTTAACATAAAAAGCTAACATTTAAAGGATGTTAAGACGATAATTTCATTTTAATTTGACGAAATTTACCCCTAAATATTATTTGTGTATTTTCAAATATTTTACAGGTAGTCCAAAACAGGCCAAAATAGCGTCTTGTAACCCGATACCTTTTCGAACGCGCATAGCAATGGGAAAGAATGCCGTAGTGACAGACCGCCGTGCTTTGAAAATTTTTTATGAAGGTTTTTTGGGGCATTTTTCGCCAAAAAATGGATTTTTGGATCCTGATCCCTGGTTTTACAACCAAATGATCTGAAATTCGGTATAAGGGTACCTTGAACATGTGTCTACAGAATAGCAGTCACATATTTGGCATACAGCACTTCCAAATGACTCATTTGGGGGACTTTGATGGCTATTTTCAACACAAAAAGGGCCAAAAGTGCTATACCCGTTCCATGTTCTATCTAAAGAATGGCACGTTCCATCTGCCGTTGGCCATGGAACACGTGTTCGATTGCGGGTTGCCTGGGGTCACATTGCACGTAAGTCGTGCGTAATGACCCACACATTCAATTTTATGTGCCTAAGACCTTCAAAATGTATCAAATCTCATCATTGTTAGTATTTGCATACCTGTAATAAGATTAGTAAAGCTTTCGAGATTCAATGTGCTTGTTCTTGCATCTTTGTTCTCAATTACATACTATTAGCTACTATATAATTCATTTATTTGAGAATCTTTGCCAGTGTTACACTGTGGTAAGTTTGGAATAGTCCACTTTTGCGTGGGAGGGAGATGGACTGAAATATGCTGTATTTGCTCCCAAGCAAATGTCGGCCTCTCTAGTTTTAAACGATTTTTTGACACGGAATTTGTAAGGTATGATAAAGGCCCCTACGTAAGGCCCCTGTCGTGCATTCAAAACGCCCCTTTTGAAGTCAGCATAGCAGACCTATTTACGTCAATTTAAGGTACCTTTTTTTGAAAAGATTTTTGACACAAAAATGATGCCATACAACGTACACTCTTATAGTACCGAAGCTGGCCGAAATCCGACAGATGCAGCCCGTCGGCGACAAAGTAATTCGGGTTCTTCTGCCATAACTTGCAATGCCGCCATGTAGTGGCTTTTGGGATGAGGTCAATGAGGGGACAAAGTGTCTCCCTGAATTCTTGGAGGCGATCATGGAAGTTAGGCATGTATGGAGGTAGTTTGGACCGCCAGATCGGTTCTCCGACGATAACTGCATGTACTGACGGAATTTCTGTAATAGTGCTCGTCAGAGACGCCAGATAGTGTGCTATCCTACTAGGGGAGAGGTAAGGCCTACAGTGTACATAAATCATTGTGACCTAGTTCCAGATATACTATGTTGGGGCGGCTGTCTCTGAGGATTGGGAGAATGTTGGATCTATAGCGAGGTATCGTACAGCCGGAGAGACCATTAAACTGTATGTCTACATCAGATAGCCAGAAGTCGGGAGACACGGCCCTCCCGCTAGCCGTGGACTGAGTGCGTTTTCTAACAAACGAATGGAGGCGCGTTACAAAGGAATGTCCAGAAATTGAGAGGGTAGGAGTGGGATCCATGAGAGTTTACCCTGGAAAGCCAGAGTACAAGCGGGTCGCGGCTGATTTCTTATCGGCCCGCCAAGCACATATACCCGCGAAACACGATCCAGCCGGCC